TTAATTTCATATCAGGGGTTAGTCGTTAGATGATCAATCAAATAAAAATGACAAATTCCAACCGTTGAGAGGATGAGCGCAAGGAGAAAATATTGTTAGGTATAGGGGTGTGGTTTGTTCGACCAAAAATCTGAACCATAAAGAAATCTTTTTTGAACAATTATTCGTAGGCGTGATGTTCCGCTAACATCCGTAGAGTTATTACCTCAAGAATTCAAATATGACATTAGGAATGCGTCTAGTTTTGGTTTTTACGACTGGACATAAATATTTCTCCTGAGTTTAAATAAATCTCGGTTTCCGGAAAGAAAGTTGCTGTTTGCTAAGTTTATGTAACTTGAGTCAGAGTATTTAATAAGTTTTTAAATTCTGAAACATTTCGGTAAATGGCAACAGGGTAGATTCACTTTTCCCAGAATGATAACTTCTATATTTAGTCATTAGCTTCAATTATTAAATAGCGTGATAGGTACGGTAATTCGTGAAGTACCGGTACACGAATTCAAGCAAATAAAAAAGTCACAACTGAGTTATGAGTTTATATGGCTAAAAATTTCCACCTGAAATAAATTTTTATTTTAAATCAGGCTGCCATCGAATTTGGTTGCTGGCTGCAATATCGAAACTTCAATTTTTAATGAATAGAACGTAAGTATGAGAAATTTAGAGGAAAACAAAGAATGAAATATGTTCGAAGACTGCCCTTGACCTTAAGAAAATGATTCTTCACATATTTTGCACATGTTCGTTATTCCTCAATTACTTCTAGTTAGCTATCGTTCATTTAATTATGCAAATAACTTGCAAAAGGGATTAGTGAATAATTTAATTACTATGTATAAACGCGCGCATTACTCATATGATGCTTAAAAATTTATTCATAATTGAATACGAGAAGGTGGGAAAATGAATTCAATAGAATCCCCATGATAATGAAGATCATTTTAATAATTGTGATAAGGTTTTCAAATTATTATTGAACATTGAGACTTGTATAATAATTTCATTTCGTTCAGCGGCTTCTCCTCTATAAATAATTAAGGATGCCTTTATAAACCCAAACTTGAGTAAAAGCTCTTTCTGTTGGGACTTGAGAAGCGCCAAGGAGTTGCAGCTTTCATCATTCGTTTAATATTTTTCCGTTTTTTTTTGTCGTAAAAATTTTATTCGTTTTCTACAAAAGTTACGCCAACGTCGCCATGTTATCTACTGAATACATACGGAGGACTTAACGTTCGTTTTTTTTTTTGATCCGAGGAGTCACTTCATTAGCTTTCTCTTGGGCCGTTCAAAGTTGTTTTTAAGATCGTTACGTTAATGAGATGAGGTTGCTACCGAATAAAAAATCAAGAACGCTGTTTAAAAGGAAACAGAATTTGAAAAAGGAAATGAAAAACAGCAGGCTGCTTGAAAACCTACACAGCCTACGTACTTAAACTTGATTAAAGTTTTCTAGATGATGAGAAAGAAAAAATTTCGTAAGATCAGGCCATCTCGAAACTTTTATTCCTGTCAGCCGCTGGCACAAGGACGCCCCAAGCGCCTCTGGCGGTGTAAATTAGCGGCTCTATGTCCGGTTTCGGTTGCCGGAGCGAAATAAGCGCCGAAACGGAATCTTGTGAAATACCTGTCGAGCTTGGGGCGATCGTGGAGCGCGCGTATTTGGTACTTGATATGTTCGGGACAGACACGGCAAAATCTGAAGAATGCGTTAAAAAATGAGGGCAATAATCGCAAATAAAAAAAAATCAATCCAGACATCAATATAACTGATTTATGGTAATGCAAGTCAAACCAATTTCTCCTATTAAATCTATGTATCCTGCTGAATGAACAACGTGGTGTTTAAAATAATCATTGAATTATTTGCAGTATCATGTCATGTAACTTTCGTCATATTAAATTTCTATCGAGCAAACAGTTCAGCAAGGGCCTCGAATTTATGCGTCCATCGACGAAAGAAAGACCACACAATAGAATGGAGAAGCACACATGTTAATCTTAACAAAATCGAGTTACGATCTTATGACACTAACTTGATTGCAGCTTTCAGTTGTTCACAGTTCATAGCAAGTGAGGATCTTTCTGCATCCATCGTCGGCTGCTGCAATGACAGTATTGAATTTCACATGTAGTTCTTTTCAAGCATTAAAGTTATCAACTGCACTTTAAATTCCTGGAGAGACAATCAAATAAATAGCGGAGTAAACGATAGTTCTGGAAATCCTCAAATCAAATAAGTTGCTCACAGAGGAGCGATTGAGTTGTGAGTTGTGAGCGATAGTTCAAAAGCTATCTTCTTGTTGAGCAATAAGCTCAAGCATGTAGACATACGCCCTAAGCTGAACAGTACTTTGGTTGAAGAAACCAAAGTTTGAATAAAAGTTTGAAATCAAAGGTTGAAGAAACCAAAAAGTTTTACAGGGGTCTGAAAATACTGCTTGCAACTGCTGAAAAATGATTAATAGAAGCATTTCTAACGTCTAATACCATTCCAATATTGCTGAGCTCAATGGAAATTTCCTGTATAATTTGTAGTTCTTCAGAAATAACGAAATTCATCCTTTTACTTAAATGTAACTCCATAATGTAACCAGATGATACAACGAAATAGAGTAGATAGCAATTTACTTGCGAAAACAAAAGCAATTTACTTACGAATAATCGTAAAACGCTCTGCAACCTGTTCCATCGTGTTCAGCTAGCCCGCCCACTGGTGTCGACTGTTGGTTAGGTAGCATCGTACGCAATGATAAACATTCGAGTTTCGACTAGACAAATTGATCCAGTTGACGTGTTAATTTAGAATTTAGAACCTTAAGCATATAAACAGGAGCAGCTAAAATAACATGCTCGTGTCGACATGCCCAAAGTTGAAAATTTCTACCGCTGCCAAAAATCTTGAACGCTGCACTGGGCTAGTCTTCAGAGCTTCCCGAAAATTACGATCGTTCATTTGCAATCTTCAATAATCAAGCTGTCGGCCGGGGGATGCTTGGACATTCCAACTAAAAGCATACATATCTGCAAGAGCTACTTCTATAGCCAATCAAGCAGACATGCCCAAAGCTGTACATTTCTTTTGTTAGTGAAGTCATTATTTCGTGGGCTTGAACTTCTACAGGCACTCAAAATATTAGTTTTCATCTTGTTCAATGTATACAAGGGCAATTGTCTTTCCAATCAAATTGTTAAAGCTCACTGAAGGGAATAAAACTATTAATATTTTTTTTTAAACGCATGTATCACTCTTTCGCACGCACGGCTCCACTGTTAGATTTCGACTGCCGCGGCCCGTCCCGCCTTGCTGAATGCTGACTTCCTGCAACGAACTAAAAAAACGCTTTGCAGGAGGTGCGGGAGGTAGACCCCCGCATACCCCCGCCGGTGGGAGCTTGTAAGCTGTATGACTATGACTGAAAGCTCTCTTTGATGTGCACTCGAATAAAAAAAAGCATGTTAACCTCTCCAGGTGGAGCTTGACCTGTATTGCATGTACAATTATCGAGTAGATTAATACTGTAGTTTGCGTATTGGAGCACAAGCGGCGCACACATGTTTGAGCGCACATAATGCAAGTTCACCTTTTATTCTTACGCTCATTGGATGGTTTCGATTTTCAGTTAACAACTCTCGCAACATTATTTCTGGTGTTTCTTCTTCCGGTGTATTGAGTGAACTCTGGGAATCTATGCCAAAATTTACTGTAATTAATAGATTGAGTAAAAGAGAATTGGTTTGCGGTATTGTTCTGTGTTATTCATCATATTCATGGAGGAGAATAAGTTATAGATTTCTTAATATGATCGAGTATCTGCTACAATTTATTCTTCACATTCGATGATGTGACTAAGAAGTGGGTTTAATATGAAGAAGTGTCATGTTATAAATAGGTGTCTTGAACAGTAGGTGCATGGGTTTTTTCATCACGGGCTAAATTCACCATGCTACATGTTAGAGTTGACTCTCCTTTCGTTCCGTCGTATCACATCGCGAACGTACGCGTGAGCGACACGCACTCGATGCAAGCGTGTTGATGGTAACGCAACGTAAGCATGTTGACGTACAGGCAATGCAAGAGTGTTGAAACGCTCGCGTGTTGATGAGTTCGTACCATGCACAATGCACATGCAGCGCCACAAATAAAGGCAGGGGCTTGTCACGCTCGCGCCAAAAACTCATGTCAGCTACTGAGCAGGGTAAGCCAGTGGCGGCCTGACCAGCCATTGATTTCGTGTGTCATTTGACCCTTATATTTTTTCTCATGGAACTACACAAAATAGCTCTTATTTGGCGGCTAAATAGAAGAGGCGGCCATTTCGAATATGATTCATCTCTAATCCGAGAGTTGCAACCGGAACGATAGCCGCGGCTAAATTTTGACAAGAGGGCTTGATGCGAAACTAATGCAAAGGCAATTTCAGCCGAGGCAGCGGATGAAATTTTAAATTACCTCAATGCTGAAATTGACATATTTAAGACATCTCTGGGTTGTTCATTCTTTACTGTTTGCAGTTCGGTTCACAAGAAGTAACAAAATTTTTCAATGACAAAAAAAAAAAAAAAACAGAAAAACAGAGTACAATTTACTGTCCTAATAGAACAGAATAATCATATAATTTTCTCGTCCTTCTCCCCAGTTTTTACAATACGCACAATGGGCTGCAAGTCTGCAATATCGGTGGGTCTGGTAATTATCACAGTATATTGTGGTGCTCAGTTCCACCCTCTGTATTACACTGCCGTGCCTGCCGCTATCCTCATGGGTGTACAGGGGGCTACCCTCTGGACCGCGGTGTCTTCCTTTCTCGTGCGGGTGAGTGACTTTAGAACCTGGGGACGTAATATCAAAAATCGTCAAGTGCACTCAGCGGTCTAAGTAGTAATGGTTCATTGAGTGATAATCAGTTTGTTTAAGGCAATACACAATTGATGAAATTATATTTAGGAAAATGTTTAAAGTACGATCAGCTTTTCATCGAGTTTTCTGCAGACAGGAGGGAAATTTGCGGAGTTGAATTCCGACGACCGCGAGGTCTGCATAACGCGCTTCTTTGGCTTGCTCTACACGATGGTCCGGCTGAGCCTCGCCATTAGCTACTTGGTTTTCAGCGAGAGTGAGATATCTATGATGTTAATTAATATTCTCATGACACAATTATCGTAATTTTTTCAAGTTAAGATAAAAACAATTTCTTTATATTATCATATCTTTACATATGATTATCATCTTATCATTGTGGGAATTTTGGTGTCTTTGTCAGACAAGTCTTTGTTAGGAATGGGATACGAATCTAGATAGAACACATAATAGTGCTATTTTGAACTTCTGAAAGACTGAAGCAATGTACTGCACCTTTCGACGTGGCGTTGAAATACAATTTTTTCGTATAACATTTATATCCAAATTGATTACTGAAGAGAAGGAACTGACACAAATAAAATAATGTATACCTCAACGTACTCAGGTTTCCCGCTGAACGGCACGATGGTACTAGTAAACGGCACCACCTTCCTACTGAACGGCACTACCTTGCTGGTTAACGGTACCACTTTACTGGTGAACGGTACCACTGTTCAAGTGAATTGCACTCTTATTAGCCGATGTGGCCTCCACTTTTGTGCGTACAATTCTACGATGCCGGTGCACTCGGGAGCGGCTTTCTCCAGCGCCTGGATTATCCTCACTGGAGTAGCGTTTGTGCTGTCAATCCTGGCCGCCTTCTTGGTCGCTTACTATGTCACCAGGCTATTTGAGTGCGTTGGAATGCGTTGTATACGTACGCTATTCGTGGTATCCTTAAGGTATCCCTACATAGTGCTGTTCACGTTGTAGCATGTTGATTTACCAGGTTGCTTGACTGCGTAGGAAAATATGTAGTATTTTCTCCATGTTTTAGCTTTTTTTTGGCTAGGATGATAACAGGTAAACATTATACTTGAGCGGATGATTCATGCTGATCACGGACGAATAAGTTAGTGTAACCGGAAACACCGCCAACCGGAAACACCGCCACGAAGTTAAAATAATTGCTGGTAGCATGCCGACTTGGTGGAGACTTTCGTACTGATTCTAAACAAAGGACTAAAGAGTCGCTCTTTGGTCTGGGCTCTAAATTCCCTTGCGTTGGAGAGAAGAGGAATGAACATAAGGAACTTTTCGTAGTATACTGGTAATCTTCAGGCGAATTACAAGATCCTTCATACGAGGGCGCACAATTTATTATTTGTGTTAGCCTGAAATTTCACGGAAAAAGGCTTGAAACTTCAGGAGTACAAACAGCCTAGAAACCACACGGTATTAGCCCTAATACACAGCTGAGAGTAACAAAATGGATAGCAAATGGTACTGGAACTAGCCGCACCGAGATGCCAACAATCAGCGGCAGAGACTAGGGGTTCTAGCCCTAATGCACTGCAAGGATGACAAAAGCGGACAGCAAATTCAAATGGTACGGGAAAAGCCGCACCGAGATTCTATCAATCAGCCGCAGAGACTAGGGGTTCTAGCAGTAATGCACCGCAACGAATCACAAAATGGACAGCAAATGGTGCGGGAACTAGCCGCACCGAGATGCCAACGACCAGCCGCAGAGACTAGGTGTTCTAGCCCTAATACACTGCCAAATCACAAAAACGGACAGAAAATGGTACGGGAACTAACCGCACTGAGACGCCCACGACCAGATGCAGAGAATAAGGAATCTAGCCCTAATGCACTGCAAAGTTCCGATTATTCTCGAGCGTGGAAGGTATCAACTCCCGCGACACGAGAGGCGCGAACGGTACCGCAGAAGCTGTACCAGAACGCTGACAAATATACTCGAGTGCAGAGGTTATTAGCCCCCTCAACACGAGAAGTGCTCGGCACGGGAACTAGCCGTACCAGAGCGCTACCAGCAACTGGAACTAAGAACTACACGTACGCCGCTATTAGTCCGTTATTGAAACTCTTTATGAGTTATGTCTAGAACTACGGTGGAGTTTTATCTTGGAAGCTCAGATCTGGCTCACTTTATTCGAGTCGAAACATGTGCACTACAACCCAGTACACTGAGCACACACAACTTTCCCGTGAGGAGTTACTCAGCTAAAATGAGCTCATCAACACGCCGTTTACAATGTACAAGAAATAGGCTGATATAAGCGCCTATATGCAAAAAAGATAATATAGTATATTACAATAAAATAAAATCATAACATAATTCTTTGGTCAAAAAATGATAAGTGAAAGTTGATGTAAGATAGAATAACTCTCGAGGATAATTAACTAGCGAACGCGTGAGTCGATACCAGTTCGTCAATAGACTAGACAAATGAACATTGACTAAGCATCATCAATACAATGAGAAGTATTATCACCTAATAAAGTCACATTATAAAGAGTTCAACCCCTTGACAACATGACAACAAGCTACAATCGACTTCCTATAGAACATCTACCTCTAATATGTCTACCTCTAATACGTAGCCGTCTTTACTTTAACGATGGTATCGTAGATTGACAGCACTTATTCTCTTATGACAGTAAATTATTAAGATTATCACATAAGAATACAGTCCTTTGACAAAATAATTGCACATTAAAGTGAATAAATCATAGGTAAATTAATAAATTGCAATTAACACATCAAAGAAATAAGTCTAGAGTGCCAGGGCTAGCAGACTACGCATGGCGCCTAGCAGACGATTGCAACACAACGCTACCGACAGATAATGGCCCGTATGTTAAATAGGGCACTAGCACTACGAAGTAGCACTATGCACTACGAAGTAGCACTATGCACTACGAAGTGTCCTGTTGGTATGCTAAATACGTCACAGACACTAAGCACTTCGAAGTAGCTCTACAATGTTTAGTGTCGCTTAGTGTCGCACTACTGATTCGCATGCAGAAAGACTTTGAAGTGCTACTTCGCTATTAGAGTACTTTATAGTGCCGCACTAAGCTATGAGTCTATTGAAGAATGGTAGTTAAGTGCTCAAATAATTAAATATTCCCTAAGTATTTCTCATTCTTTGCAGAAGATTGATGTAAAATGTCTAATTGTGATGGTATATAATGGTACTAGTGAAAATTGTTATGGTGAGCTGAAATTCGCACCTTTCTCATCATATATTCAAAGGCCACGCTTCCCAAAGACATCGAACAAAAGTGAGAAGCATGGAAAGTTCTTGCAGAAAAATTCAAAATGACTCCAGAAAAAAAATTCAAAACATGGTATCAAAAACAAGAAAAGTATTTTCCACTTCTACGCTGTTCATCTGTTTCGCCAAGGAAAATATCAGTCTTAGGAATAACATGTTATTCACTGAAGCGGTGCACTTTTTTATATTCATGGCATGTAGTTCCTGAGGTTTTTACGCGATGATGCCTTTGCTGTAAGCCAAACAGATCCATAGCTGACGAAGTAAACAAGGTTAAATATACCGTAGTGTCGTCGTGAAGTGCGGTGTGTAGAACGCTTCAGATTTTTGTAGTGCGCGTTATGCTTTTGGCCCTATTTAGCATACCAACCGTAGTGTTCCATGCCGCACTATGGCTTGTAGTGCGTAGAGCTACTTCATAGTGCTAGTGCCCTATTTCGCATGACAACCGTAGTGTTCCATGTCGCACTATAGTAGGCACTACGGCTTGTAGTGCGTAGTGCTACTTCGTAGTGCTAGTGCCCTATTTAGCATACGGGCCATTATCACAGCAAAGGAAATTCCTTGTTTCAGTCACGAAATAAAAATATGCCTGCGCATTCCTTAGTCATGCAGAATAATATCACAGTAACGAGATTCCATATTCTAGTCATAAAAATATATTCAGTCATATTGAGTCACTAATTTAACAAAAGAACATCATCAAAACACGTGATAAAAACGGTGCTCCTAGAAAAAAATTCACATAATATGCATCCCGTCACATTGGCATGTAACCTTTATTAACAACATTCATAACATTCACGTAGCCTGGTCGGGGACTGGAAGGGAGATGGCGAAAACCCACCAAGCGTGGGCCAGGTGTTGCTGGAGCCGCTGCGACAGTGCGCCGCCCCCCTCATGCTGCTGCTGCTGCCCCTGACACTTTGGTCCGGGGCTAAGGCCGCATTCATCATTCACACGTACTCGCTGGTAGGTTGCTTCGTCATTCACGTGTACTCGCTGGTAGGTTACTTCGTCGTTCACACGTACTCGCTTGTAGGTTGCTTCGTCATTCACGCGTACTTGCTGGTAGGTTACTTCGTCGTTCACACGTACTCGCTTGTAGGTTACTTCGTCATTCACACGTACTTGCTTGTAGGTTACTTCGTCATTCACGCGTACTCGCTGGTAGGTTACTTCGTCATTCAAGCGTACTTGCTGGTAGGTTACTTCGTCATTCACGCGTACTCGCTGGTAGGTTACTTCGTCATTCACGCGTACTCGCTGGTAGGTTACTTCGTCATTCACACGTACTCGCTTGTAGGTTACTTCGTCATTCACACGTACTTGCTGGTAGGTTGCGTCGTCATTCACGCGTACTCGCTGGTAGGTTACTTCGTCATTCACACGTACTCGCTTGTAGGTTACTTCGTCATTTACACGTACTTGCTGGTAGGTTGCGTCGTCATTCACGCGTACTTGCTGGTAGGTTGCGTCGTCGTTCACGCGTACTCGCTGGTAGGTTACTTCGTAATTCACACGTACTCGCTTGTAGGTTACTTCGTCATTCACACGTACTTGCTGGTAGGTTACTTCGTTATTCACGCGTACTTGCTGGTAGGTTACTTTGTCATTCACACGTTCTCGCGTGTAGCTTTTAACTTTCTGTACGCTAAAGGAATCCAATATGTAGTCACTCATATGTTATAGTTGTATATGAAAATTATTTAATTAATTATTTAATTATTGTTCCTTTAATGTACCGTATTTTACTCAATGTATGCATTAATTACGACCTTGAACGTATGTCGTCTACATTTCTGGATCGCTCTCCTACTATTATCCGTCCCGCATAGTAACGGCATTTGATATTCTTTTCTGTAGCATTATTATGTAAAATATTCGTAGTTAAAAGTTCGTTACTCCATGAGCCAATTTCAAGCAAAATCCAACAATGACAGACTAGAAATCGGCCATCACGTTTATTACAGCGAATTTGTATTTTTTTACCAAGACATGAGTAAAAATTGCATTGCTATTTAGACAAAGAGTCACTCATTTCTCTTTGAGAGAAAACTGCCTAGATGAATAAAACAATCGTATTATCCTGTCAATATAGGCCACTAAGTTGTTGTCGAGAAGCAAGATTAGACAAATATTAGGATCGCTCTGAAATAATAATAGAAACATGAACGAAAGTTACTATTACGGCAAAAATACCAGAGTAAATCCGGATTTCGGAGTCAAATTTATGAGTTAATCGTTCTGTTAGTTTCTATCTTGCCTTGCAGGGCTTTGTGTCATGCGGCTTGGGCCAGCCAATGATTGGCTACGTTATTCTGACGTTTGCCAGCGCCAGCGCCTTGTGCTCTTCGCTGTCTGGGTTTTTGGTCCAGCGTCTAGGCAGAAGATCCATGTTCCTGAGCGCAGGCTTCGTCAACTTGTCCATGATTTTGTTGATGCTCAACTGGGAGCCTCAGGCAGACCACTTCCCGTTGTACTTCATCGTGGCTGGAATATGGGGAGTGTCGGACGCGGTGTGGCATACGCAGCTCAGTGGTGAGATATGAATGAAAGAGATTAAATAATGCAGACATACCAGGAGTCATTGTCTTCTCAATTGTTTTATAATATAGGTTGAAATTATAGTATGGTGAATAATATAATGTGGTTAATTCAATAATGTTTATTAAATTATGAATTATAATTTCTAATTCAACTCATTTAGATCAAATGATTTCTCCACTCTAGAAGTTGTCAGCTTCAGTATTGAAATTTTACTATAATTTGAAATAGTTAGTGCCATATTAATTCATTATAATTAATTATAATTTCTCATTATACGAAACGACCAATTTTTGATAGAAAAATTATTTATAAAGTTGATACATAATTTTTGTCGTTGAAAAGTGCATAAACGTTTTCAACTAAATAAATTTCATGATTCATGGCAAAAATTCGAATAGCATAACCGTAGTTTTGCTAGTGATCAACATTCAGGAAACGCTGAAAGTTGATATGGAAATGAACAAAAATATGCAACTTCAAAAATATTTTACGAATCAAATTCTATTATAATTACTAATCCTAAAACTTCGTAAAATTCATAAATAAATTTTAACGATAAATAAAACACAAATTTCATCACCCGTCTCTAATTCTTCTTATATCTAGACCATCATTAAAGAACGATTGTGAAATAACCATTAACAATGTTGTAACTTTGGGGTCTTGGTTTCACTGCAGCCCTGTGTGGCCTGGTGCAAGTAACCTAACTCTATATATATAATCTACAAGGTTATAACTCTGAGGTCTTTGAATCACTTGAGCCATTTATGGCGCGGTACAATTAAACTAAAGTGTATACAGTATAAAATATACAAGGAATTTAAAAACAAAGAAAACGCCAAGCAAATTTGCCATATCGATATTGAAAACGTTTCGGAGTCTAGCGCCAACATTTCATTTTAAGTTCGGCAAACTAAAAATGAATAAAATCATTTTATAAGTCAAAATTCTAAGACAGACATAAAACCTAAACAAGACCTAACATTATATCGAAAAATTGGACTCGATTGGAACAACTTAGTCCTAGGGGTCACGAAAAGAATAAAACTTAAGAAAACACACTAAAACCTAAAAGCCTAGCTATTCACTGTTTTCTGATTAAACGAACTAAGCGCATTATGGAGACACGGTTTTCGTTTGAAGATATGTAGAGACTCCAATATTCTCAAATCCGAGCAGCCAGAAGTGGAACCGAGTATCCTGAAACCACTCCCAGATTCAGCCACGTCGCACTGTTCAGCATGGAGGCGCACGGAAGAATGAGGAGGCTTGCCGAGAGGCAAGTTAGAACGATAGCTCCTGCCATGGAGTTCAGAAACCCGGATGTAGAAGTTACGCCACGTCATTCCAAAGTACGCAGATACGCAGCGCGCACAACTGTACTCATAGACCAGGTTTGATCGCATCCGGGCACGATACTCGGTTAGGAAGATACTTGTTCCCCAGTTTGTTGTGAAATAGCCGTTGCTGCACTTTATTTTTACTTCTATTAAATTTGATTAAATTAGAATTATTTTTATTTGATTTAATTAAAAACTGTGTAACTGAAAAATTCGATAACATTGTTCGAGATGAATACGAATTCGTTTTAGTTTGTGACGAGACAATCATGTGTTTAATGCATACGCAGTTATTTCAACATTCATTAATTCCAAGACGATTTTACCTGAAAGTCGTTGAATAATCGCGTTCCTTATCTATTAATCGCTTTGGTTTTTGTTGAAAAAATGTTAGTGTTTGGTTTCAACTCACGTGCGCCCGAATAGCTTACTCGGAATATTCTCAGTGAAGCCTTAGTGACTAATCCTTTACAGCTGAATAGTTGATTTAGGTAATCAATCTTCATAAAGCATTTAGTTTTGTCGGCACCCCTATAACATTTTATCCGACTCGCTGTTAAAATTATATCGCGACTTGTGACTCGCGATATCAATCAAATACAGGCAGATTACGCTATTGATGTGTTGAACGAAGCGGAACGCAAACCTGATAACGGTCATATCAGAAGCAAAAGAGAATATACATATTTCAATAGATAAGATGAGTCATGACGATGATATTGTTTGCTAAATTAATCTCCTATTCAACACAAAAAATTTTGAATTGTGTAAAGTTATCGGAAAATATTTTAGTTCACTAAAACAACAATTTTTAAGGTAATGGCGATATTGAATGACGATCCCGCTGCGGTGCTCGCTTCGGATCCGTGGTCGCTGCAGGCGACTGGCGTTACCAGCTCGGCAGACGACACGTCGCGCCTCTGCCTCGTCACTGAGCCCGACGACGAGGAAGGGAGAGACGTGCTGGAACTCAGACCCATAAGACCATGGTTTGCATTAGGAATTATAGTCCATCATATTTATCTACGTTGTTCTTATATAGCTGAGTAAGCGAAGAACGCATGAGAGATAGGAAAGAAGAGATGACGGAAAATTTCTTAGGTCTTGCCAACATAACTTCTGTTTAGCACTGATCTCGAGTTACCGAAATGCCATCGAGATTCATTCAGAACGTTTCCAGAGGAATCCTACTCAACTACATATTTGTTCATAAATAAAACGGTGCAAATTCACGTGCTGATGAATTGTCAAGATTATCTTAATTTTTAAATGAGACTGTTGTGCAACAGCATAGAGACGTCACGCCGTCTTTATTCTAACTACAAACCTGTTGAAAATATTGGACGCTGCCTACATCTCGACGACGCATTAATATGCTGCCAGTTGAAATGTCTCGTCCCGCATCACCTTTTCAATCACAAGAGAGCTGAACTTTCCAACACAACCGTGAGATATCACTGAATCCCTTAAAGTTAGCCATGACCACATGGGATTCAAGTGTGTCCAGTCAATTTCTTTGCACGTGTGTTAATATTCACCTTCAATTAGCTATGTATAATTAGGCTTTATGATAGTTACTGACTTTGCACGTGATTCTATATTTTTATATTTATGCAGATGACAAAATAATTTACAAAATAAGCAGAATTTGAGACGAAATTTATGACACAAGGAAAAATTTATGGTTGGGAGTTGCGTACCTGAAACTTACGAATAATAGATGGCTCTGTGAATCAAAACGGTATTCTGATTCCATGGATATAAATTGATATAAAGACTAATTATTTTCAGTTTAATGCCAGCAATCCCTGTTTATCCATAGACATTGTTTATTAATTGCATAAACCATGTTCATAGGGGATTAAAAGTGGCTGTGCAATACGCTATATTGCTAGCTGCTCAGTTAATACAATTAAAAAGTTCACACTATTATTGAAAATAATGACATTAAAAAAACAGGCAAGTTGATTAATTTACAATTACGTGCCTCAGGTTCTGTGGAGTGAACCAGTCAGAGACGCTCGTCGCCACAACAAATTCGGCAACGTCAGCTTCACCGTGGCCTGGTCCGACATGTACAGGCAGTTTGGTCCCCACATGTACTACCTCCGACAACGTACTTCTCATAACATTACAACTGAAATACTGATCACTAAAAAACTTTTTAACACATTGGAATTAGTTGATTTTAATGCCAAGGACGCTCCTGTAAGAAGAGGAATATGCAATTGTGCTTCAGAGAGCAAAATATGCAACTGTGGTCCATTGGAATACGCAACAGAAGTACAAAGATGTGAAACAAGTATCGTGCATCAAATACAAATAGCCGTTGATGCCACATTGTGGGAGGGTTTTTGGGTCTATGCCCTGAGCACTATTGTACCGAATGTCCACAAGAAGTTTTGTTTCAGGCACAGATACGTGACCAAGAAGCCTTGCAGGTTTTATTATAACACAAGGCAAGCCCGAAATTTTTTAGGGTTACATTGCAACTACGAACTTGATGGAGCTTTTAGGCGCGAACGGTATAAAAAATTTGGGCACAATTGGATGCTTCATTTTGAAAGTTACAGTCAATCTCCACCATATTATTTTGAACAAGCATTATACGGACAACTGTCTTATCAATTATGTATGCGAGATTTTTGGCTCTTTTTCAATTCCACGTCTCATGAAATGAATTGCATGATTTTGAGCAGAGCAGATTTGAGCAGATTGGAACAAATGGTGGGCAGATTGATGTGGAGTTGGTGGCAAAATTATGACTTTTACGCGAATTTGCAGTCATACATCACCAGATATTCTTGATTTTCCTTTCTTCAACCCGAAATTTGCCTGCGTTTGAAAAATCATATATACGATGTATTTGTAAAGGTGATAAGCTTTCATGTTAATTGTAAAGCCAAGCTGGCGGCTCTCAACATCATTAGTAAATTTTGCATTGGGTCCTACACAGTGAATAATTATAATCAATAAACGAACGACGTGCACGCTCGTAGTAGACCAAATTTCTGGTGGACTTGCATTTATGAAGTGGCTTGTTCATTTTAATAATTATTCAAGGTCGATTTGTTCATATAAATGATTTTTACCCTAAAGATATAATAAGCAACCTGCCCGACTGTCCAATGCTGGACCGACTTTATTCTTCATTTCATTTCTCAATGTGTGCCTTTAATGTGAGTAAATACTGCATCACTAATTTCCTGACGCCAAACAGTATGAACTTCCAGTCCTACTCACACTCATAACTATCAATGTCACTCACAGAGTTATGGTTGGTTACAGCAACCTCTAAGATTTAGCCTTGTTATAAAAACAGACAAGCCTCAAGCTGTTATGAATTGTCGGAAAAAGTTAGCTCATGGTTATAAAGCAAAGAGGTTTTAGGCCTGGGTTCTACTACTGTGATTTAAAATTAATTGCTATGATGCCCAACTACGTCAATGAGCTCTGGCATAATGATGCCTATATTATATTGTCGAGGAGTGAAACCTAGACTGGTCTGAATGCATTTTTTCTAAATAAATAAACCAGAATATCCCAGTGCCCCCTACATTTTAATATCAATATCAATAAACAACAATAAACAACAATAAACTACAATAAACTACAATAAACTAAACCATCTTACATCCCACGATGTCTCATACAATGTGCTCAAGCAGCGTCTACCATTAATATCAATACGCGTAGTGGCGCGGGGTAAAACCGGGGGGACCCCGAATTTTACTGTCAACAGCAACCAGACGTGCTTGCGATTTTGCCGGATTGACCCTGATGTCCGTCCGGATTAGGAGCCACTGATAGCCTTATTCTGTCCGCGCCACTGCAGGGAACAGGGAAATACTCGATTAATATACCATATAATAATAATAACTTATTAAAATAACTCCAAATTTCTTACTATGGAAGATGTGGGCGTCATCGTTCGCCTCTAGTCATGTTTTTTCCCCGAAGGAGATATATCTTGCGTGATGGTGGCCCCTGGGCCGCTTGTGTATTTTTAATCTTAGATTTAATGTGATAATGATGATAGATAAGCGGGAGTGATTGAATTGACAATATTTTGATTATATCATCCAGCGAGATGCAAAGGTAGTCAGAAAGATTTCTAGCCATGAAAAATGAGTTTCAATTTATAAACGGGATTTAAGTTAGTTACCCTGCAATCGTAACGCAGGTGGGTTACTCTGCAGTCGGGCGTAGTTTGGCTAATATGCTAACAGGTTGGAGAAGAGTTACTTAGCAATCGGAGCGTATAGATGTGTCATTTCGCAATCTGGACTTAGGTGGTTAATTTGCAATCGGAATGTGGTAGATTTACTCTGCAATCGGGATGTAGGTGGGTTACTTTGCAATCGGGATGTAGGTGGGCTACTTAGTAATATTACCGCACCCTGTACAGCAGTGTTACATCGAGCTCCCGTTTGATCTCACTTCTGGCCCGAGTTGTCCCTCCCCACACGAGGGCTTCAAGGAACATGAACGTAGAAAGGCTATCACGGGATGCATTTGCCTGATGTACAGATCACTGAAGAAAATGTATACCGAAACTTGAACTTTAAAGAATTCTTCTCAATTCTTTATCTTCTGGGTTTTCGAGTTTTAAACGAAGAAAAATTATTTTGAAAATTTTACTATAAGCGACAATGTATGTTATTTACCACGTGAGATATTCAGATTCCAGCTGTGCGACAAGCAAAGTACAAAATCAATCTAAAGAAAAATAACTGACCTTGAGTGTTCATCGACATTGTCTATAAGATTAAGTTTATTTTCATTAAAAAATTTAGGAGCCATGATATTTTTATTTTCTTTCCTTATGATAGAAAAAACAAAAGGCCGAATATTATTATTCTTTTTATTGAAATGTCACAAAGAGCTTTGAAAGACAAGCTTTTTTCCATTTGAAAGCTTTTTTCGTTTCATCTCATGATAGTTGTTAACTATCATGATTGCTCCATGATCATCGTAATTGTTGCATTATTAGCGAGATTTTTATGTTATTGGGAGCACTGTATCTGTTAATCATCTTTTTAGTAATAATCTTTTTAAAAATATTTGAATCTTATTTTTATATCATAGAGCCGGAGATGTATGCGCTCAATCAATAATTTTATTGGGTAAATTTTTTGTTCCACGAACGCATATACATACATATATAGTTTGTGTGTCACCTCACTTGAGAAAAAAAATAAAGCTAATATTGGAAAAATATTGCAGGTTTTTTCACAACATTAACTTTTTGTAGTCAGTAATGTTGTTTCGATTTGTTAGATGCCGCTTATCGCTCTAATTCTTAGAGCAGGGGAAGAAAAGTTTGAAGCAGTTGGATTTTAAAAATTCAAGCGGAACAATTTATGCACTTACAGAAAAAAAGAATAAGGTACACACTTCTATACCAATAGAGCAACTCTGTTGGGATTGCAATAAGATTGGTGAAATTAGTCATTTTAGTTTTGATTCACCACCGATATGACTTCTCCCCATGAAGTTTTTCTCAAATATCACTGTTGCATGATCCACCACAGAGGAACGTGGTTGCATTGGTTCAAGTAATATTTGAGATTAAAATGTGCGTATAAATTCGGTGGTGCTCAATCAATAATTACCGTTAATTTATAGATAAATGTGTGTATGTTCTTTATTCATGTGTATAGTGTTTGGTTCGATGTTCAGTGTTTAGCTCATTATTACTAGTCATAAGTTTTGTTTTGTTCTTACATTCCAGAAAGGGTCCGAATCTTGAATCGAAAGTAAGAACAAGAGCGACGAAAGCACTTGGTATATTTATTGGTATACGTTATTTAGCATTATGGTTTTTCACTATAATTTTCATTCATCCTTCACTGCTTTACCACAACACTTCTATTGCAAAGCTCGATAGCGCGTTAAAAATTGTTACGTTATTTACAACAAAATTTTATTATTCAAATGTTTTAGTTTGGGGAAAGTGAAAAAGTGAAAACGACATTTTCACTTCGGTTTTATCTCCTTCGAGCGAAATAGTGACTGAAAACTTGCATAATTCGCAAGGCTAAAAGAGATCGAGCAACTGATGTGCATATTAGCATCGGAACTCACGCTGTGTGTGTCTCAGCTGTGTACACACATACAACACTTGTGTATACCTAGTCAACCTGCGCCTTGCCTGTGTAGTAGTGTCTCAGTGTCTCAGTAGGACCCAGTGTCGCCACAGAGTTCTGTGTCAGTGTCTCCTGGTCAAAATTGGTGGAGGTTTCGCAACGCATTTCTCTCCTCTTACTTGGTTTTGTGTTGTGATGCGTGTATGACGGGATGCATATTATGTGATATATATATATTTTTAGGAGTACTGTTTTGACCACGGGTAATTTTGATGATGTTCTTTTGCTAGATTGGTGACTCAAAATGATTGAATATATTTTTCTGACTAGAATATGGAATCTCGTAACTGTGATATTATTTTGTTAATTCATAGGATTTAGTTGTTAGCGTCTTGGAACGAGACTGAATGTTGCAGTTCCATGCAACGTGATTGGTCGAGTTGCTCCTAGCCTCGCGACGGTGCACGTTTATTCCTCTAGGTAGTCTTGGACGATGTAGAGTTCGGTCTCTTTAGAATTAGTTGAGGATTATTCGACTATTAACTTGTGACTAGTTTGCAAAATGATTAAAATTATGACTACTTTATTGTATTGTATTATATTATCGACTTTTCTTTGCACTCAGAGAGTGTTGACAGCCTGTTTTGTGCTCCTTAGAAACGAGATATCGTGTTGACATTATTTTAGCTGAGTTGCCCCTTGCGGGCAAGTTGTGTGTGCTCAGTGGTACTGGGTTGTGGTACAACGGTTTCGACTCTAATTCAGGGAGCCAGTTCTGGGCTTGCAAGAATAAACTCCACTGTAGTTCTGGAAATAACTCGTAAAGAGTTCCACTAACAGACTAATAACGGCGTAGGTGGAGTTCTTGGCTAGTTCCAGCTTTTGGCTGCGTTGGGTGGTTAATAGCTGCTCCATTCGCACCCTCGTGTCGTAGAGGCTAATAACCTCTGCGCTCGAGTAAAATGTCAGCGGCTTATTGGGGGCTCGAACCCCTCTATAATCGTGCTTTTGAAGCGTAACTGCCACCCCGTTTTTGCGATCCTTGCAGTGCATTAGGGCTAGAACCCTTAGTCTCTGCGGCTGGTTGTTGGCATCTTGGTGCGGTTAGTTCCCGTACCATTTGCAGCCCATCTTTGTGATTCTTCGCAGTGCATTAGGGTTAGAACCCCTAGTCTCTGTGGCTGGTTGTTGGCATCTTGGTGCGGCTAGTTCCCGTACCATTTGCTATCCATTTTGTTATTCTCAGTTGAGCATAAGGGCTCATACTGTGTGGTTTCCACAATAATTCGCATGAGGATCAGCAGTATTCTGCGAAAAGTTCCTTGTGTTTATTCCTCCTCTCTCCAACGCAAGGGAATTTAGAGCCGGACCAAAGAGCGACTCTTTAGCCCTTGTGTTTATAATCAGTACGAAAGTCTCCATCAAGTCGGCACGCTCCCCGTAATTAATTCAATTTCGTGGCGGTGTTTCCGGTTACACGTGCATTGACTGCTCAAAAGATTCCATAGTTTATGAGTGTCTTGTATGCTATTACGATGCAAACTATCTAACAGGAGAAGATAACACGAAAATGTATTTTAAAAATCTTCACAATTTTTTTAAGCTTCCGTACGAGCACTCATTACTGCTTGTGGTTCAAAAATTTTGAATTCGAATTGGAATTTAAAACTTCAACAAAATTGGAATTAGCTAAGACTTTCGATCAAACGATGCCGATCAGGCATTTCATAAATAACTTCTTACATTACTAGCGATATTGTTTTAATTATTCGCACCGCGTTTATTTCCTTAGTATTTCCCTTAACCATGAAAAGATGCTAATGACCGACATTACAGTGGCTCCTTCTGCTAATGGCCGGCATTACAGTGGCTTTTTCTTTGGACTAAAGTAAAGTGTAATATTCATCGAGCAAAGTAGTACGCTTAGACCTCAACATAATAAATATTTTAAATTACTAGGGGTATACATATATCTATCACAGTATCACTAGACTTTCGTACTATGCAGTTCATGCAGTATGTGCAATTCATATAGAGAGCACACTGAGTTTTCACACATATATGTATCAATAATATATGTATCCATATAATGGATATGAATTATAACGTTGTGCAGTGTCGCAGTCTCCACCAGCCCGTGTCTTAAATTAACAATTCATTCATGAATTAACAAAACTTAAATAAAAGGAAACTCTAGAAGTAAAATGTAATAATTATTAGTAATAAAAATAAGATAATAAACTTTTAAATTCATGGCGTTCTCTCTCTTGCAACTTTTTTGTTGTTACGTTGACATTTGAAGTCACACATGTCATGCATGACATGTGTGAACAGAAAAAAACAAGAAAAACAGGGCCTAAAGTCCGCAGCATTCCGAGAGACAGACGAATCCTTATGAGAAAACGCAAGCGGTTAAATAAACAAATAGCTGAATCCACTAGTGATACGAGAAGACAGAGGCTAGTAAATTTGCACAAGAAAATTGAACTCAGGCTGCAGGTCTCGCACAGGNTCATGAAAAAAGATTTATGTTTCAAATGCATTTGATATAGTAAAATAGTATAATATTATTTACATGCTAGAACGTTAGAAACGTTCATAGGAAAATGAAGGTTTATTTTAAACTTTATTTTAGAAACGAAGATAAAAATTAAAATAAAATATTTTTCATTTAGCTTCCCTTCTCTCAGGTCTCTGGCCACGCTGTCCATAGCGATCACGGTGGGTGTGATGGTAATTTGCTCGTCCTTCTCCCCAGTTTTGACAATACGCACAATGGGCCACAAGTCTGCAATAGCAGTGGGCCTCGTGATCATCACAGTATATTGTGGTGCTCAGTTCCACCCTCTGTACTACACTGCCGTGCCTGCCGCTATCCTCATGGGTGTACAGGGGGCTACCCTCTGGACCGCGGTGTCTTCCTTTCTCGTGCGGGTGAGTGACTTTAGAACCTGGGGTCGTAATATCAAAATTTGCTAAGTGAACGTAGGTACTTACGCTCTATTTTCTTGTCTATGATTGGTGGATTTTGCTTGAAAGGTCGTCAATGATTGGCTGATGAACTTACGATCTCTTAGCTTTTTTTGAAAGTATATGCCCTGGGTCGTAGTATCAAAAATCGCCAATTTCACGTAGCGGCCTAAGTTGTAATGGTTCATTGAGCGATAATCAATTTGTTTTAGAAGAACTACGCAATTGATGAAATTATAGTTAGGAAAATGTATTAAGTATGATCAGCTTTTCATCGAGTTTTATCTGCAGACAGGGGGGAAATTTGCGGAGTTGAATTCCGACGACCGCGAGGTCTGCATCACGCGCTTCTTTGGCTTGCTGTACACGATGGTCCGGCTGAACCTCGCCATTAGCTACTTGGTTCTCAGCGAGGGTGAGATATCTATGATGTTAATTAATATTCTCATGACACTATTAGCGTAATGTTTACAAGTTAAGATAAAATAAATTTCTTAATCTTATCAAATCTTTAAATATGATTTTCATCTTATCATTCTGGTAATGTCGGAGTCGGAATAGTCTTTGCTAGGAATGGTATAAGAGTTTAGATAGAACCCACAATAGTGTTATTTGCATTTCTCGAAGACTGAGGCAATGCACTGCACCTTTCGACGTGGCGTTGAAATAAAATTTTCTCGTAAAACCTATTGATCCTAATTGATTACTGAAGAGAAGGAACTGACACAACTAAAATAATGTGTACCTAAATGCACTCAGGTTTCCCGCTGAACGGCACGACGGTACTAGTAAACGGCACCACCGTTCTAGTTAACGGTACCACCTTGCTGGTGAACGGTACCACTGTGCAAGTGAACGGCACTCATCTTAGCCGCTGTGGCTTCCACTTTTGTGCATACAATTCTACGATGCCGGTGCACTCGGGAGCGGCTTTCTCCAGCGCCTGGATTATCCTCACTGGAGTAGCGTTTGTGCTGTCAATCCTGGCCGCCTTCTTGGTCGCTCACTACGTCACCAGGCTATTTGAGTGAGTAGGAATGCGTTGTATTCCTACGCTATTCGTGGTATACTTACGGTATCCCTACATAGTGTTGTTCACGTTGTAGCATACTAATTTAGTAGGTTAAACGAGTGCGTAGGAAAACGTAGTATTATCTCCACGTAGTAGCTTTTTAGGTAACATTACAATGAGGTTAACATTGTACTTGAGCGGATAATTCGTGCTGACCACGGATGACTAAGTTAGCGAGTAACATTAATAAACAACATTCATAACATTCACGTAGCCTGGTCGGGGACTGGAAGGGAGATGGCGGTGACCCGCCAAGCGTGGGCCAAGTGTTGCTGGAGCCGCTGCGGCAGTGCGCCGCCCCCCTCATGCTGCTGCTGCTGCCCCTGACACTCTGGTCCGGGGCTCAGGTCGCATTCATCATTCACGTGTACTCGCAGGTAGGTTACTTCATCATACAGGTGTAACCGGAAACACCGCCGCGAAGTCAAAATGACCATGGGTAGCGTGCCGACTTGACGGTGACTTCCGTATTGGTTTCAACACAAGGGCTAAAGAGTCGCTCCTTGGTCCGGCTCTAAATTCCCTTGCGTTGGAGAGAGGAGGAATGAACACGAGGGACTTTTCGTAGTATATTGGTGATCTTTAGGCGATGCACAAATTAGCACAAATTAGTCCAAGGCATACAATTTATTATTCACTATAAGTCAAAAAGCTCCGGGAGCCAGGATCACAACTTCAGGGGTACAATGTTGACGAGTCCTAATAAACTGTCGAGAACCATAAAAGCGGATAGCACGGGTGCAGGTACGAGCTGCACCACGATGCCGACAACCTCACAGGAACGGAAAGCACGGGTACAGGTACGAGCTGCACCACGATGCCGACAACCTCACAAGAACGGAGAGCACGGGTACAGGTACGAGCTGCACCACGATGCAGACAACCACACAGGAACGGAAAGCACGGGTACAGGTACGAGCTGCACCACGATGCAGACAACCACACAGGAACGAAGTGGCAGTTACGCCTCAAAAGCACGACTATTGAGGAGTACGAGCCTCCAATTAGCCGCTGACAACTTACTCGAGCGCAGAACCCCTACGACACGAGGGCGCGAATGGAACGGCTGTTAACCGCCCAACGCAGCCAAAAGCTGGAACTATCCAAGAACTCCACCCATGCCGTCATTATTTCTTTAGTAGATCTCTTTAAGAGTTATCTTCAGAACTGCGGTTGAGTTTATTCTTTCACGCCCAGATTTGGCTCTCCTGATTAACGAGTCGAAACCGATGCGCCCCAACCCAGCACCACTGAGCACACACAACTTCCACTCGCCCGCGAGGGGCGACTCAACCAAAACAATGGCAACATGACACCCTGCCTATAAAGAGCACAAAACAGACTGTTAACACTTTCTAAGTGCAAAAAAATAGATAATATAATACAATACAATAAAGGCATCATAATTTTAATCATTTGGCAAACTTATCAAAGTTAAAAGTCGAATAATCCTAAACTAATTCTAAAGTGACCGAACTCATCATCGTTCATGACTACCTAGAGGAATAAGCTCGCACCCGTCGCGAGGCCAGGAGCAGCTCAACCAATCACGTTGGAGCTATAACATTCAGTCTCGTCCCAAGACGCTAACAACTAAATCCTAGGAATCAACAAAATAATATCACAGTTACGAGATTCCATATTACAGTAATGAAATAAAAATATGTTTACGCATTACTTAGTCATACATCATAAGTTAGATCTCTTGAGTAAAATCAGAAGCGAAACAATGTTTTAAAAAATAATCCTAATCTAATAAATCTAATATAATCCTAAAAATAATCCTAATCTAATAAAAAATTGTGTTCCGTCACATACGCATACTCGCTAGTAGGTTACTTGTCATTAACGCGTGCTCGCTGGTAGGTTGCTTCGTCATTTATGGGTAGGGCACTCGCTGGTAGCTTTTAGCTTCCTGTACGCTAAAGGAATCCAATATGCAGAGCTGGGCAGCGCTACTTTGAAATGTAGCGCTGCTACCGCTACATGCTCAACTCTAAATGTAGTGGGCGCTACCGCTACCGCTATCGCTACACCCACTAGATTGTAGCGAGCGCTACTGCTACCGCTACAGTAAAATGTAGCGCCGAGCCGCTACAATGGCTAAAATTATTGGGAATCTCTAAATATTTATTTTTCTGCTATTGGGATTTACTCATAATCATTTAATGATAATAAAACATTTTCAAAACATATCAATGCAACTTTAATGCAATTAACCTAACCGAACCAGTACGGGTTAGATACAGTAAATAAAAGTTAGTTATTTTTATGTTTTACGTTCCCTACATGGATGTCTACTTTAGTCTACCAATCTCAAAAATTATCCACATATACATATAAAAGTCAGTCATTTATTTGTATATATAGATGTGGATTATTTTTGAGATTGGTAGATTAAAGTAGATATCCATGTAGGGAAGGTGAAACATAAAAATAAATGTCAGCAAACAGAATACCTGTAAGTGGTAACTGGTAAAAACTTAACAAGTAACAACTAACATGTTGACACTAGTACCAGGCTAAGGTTGACAACAATAAACCGAAATCTTTCGTACAGTATTATTCTGTAACTTATATTATTTATTTATGTATCATGCTGGATTGTAATAATATTTAATATTATTAAGTAAAATCTAATGGCTTTATCTATAAATGTAGCGGTAGCGCTGTAGCGGCAAAACCTCGTTTCGCTACTTAAATATGTAGCGGGTGCTACCGCTACCGCTACTGAAAATGTAGCGGCCGCAAGTAGCGGCCGCTACATGTAGCGCGCTACTGCCCACCTCTGCCAATATGTAGTCATTCAGGTGTTATAGTTGTGGAGTGAAATTGGTTAATTTTTCGTTCGGTTTAAACAATAGAGGCTAGTTGAACAATTAAACGATGTTTTAACAATGAGAGGATAGTTAAACAATGAGAGGCTAGTTAAACAATGGGAAGCTGGTTAAAAAATAAGAGGATAGTTAAACAATGAGAGGCTAGTTAAACAATGNGAGGCTAGTTGAACAATTAAACGATGTTTTAACAATGAGAGGATAGTTAAACAATGAGAGGCTAGTTAAACAATGGGAAGCTGGTTAAAAAATAAGAGGATAGTTAAACAATGAGAGGCTAGTTAAACAATGAGAATATAGTTAAGAAATAAGAGGATAGATAAAATAAAAGCGGCTAGTGTAACAGTAAGGGGCTAATTAAAGAATAAGAGGCTATATCAACATGTATGGTCCGTTATACCAAGTGCGCAAGCAGGAAGTGGTGAATCTCTTTTTTTTTTTAATTACAAAACGTGTTTATAAAATGAATCCGCTCACGCATGTTAATTTTAGCATCTATACTTCTTTTTATCAAACAATGGGAAAACACTTGTTCCTTTAATGTACCGTATATTACACAATGCATGCATGACGACAACGAACGTATGTCGTCTTAATTTGGCTCTAATACTATAATTCGTCCCGCATAGTAACGGCATTTGATATTGTTTTCTGTAGCCTTACTATGTAAAATACCCGTAGTTAGAGTTCGCTACATCCTTAGCCAATCACTGACGGCTTTTCATACAAAATCCAACAATGACAGACTTGAAATCAGTCATCACGTGTATTACAGCAAATTTGTATTTTTTGACCCTCACATGTATTACAGCAAATTTGTATTTTATGACCTGCTAATAAGTAAAAATTGCATTGCTGTAGGGACAAAGACTCACTCATTTCTCTATGTGAGCAAATGGGCCTAAAAAAAGTTTTATCTTGTCTACATAAGCATGTAAATTGTTCGTCGATAAGCAACATTAGACAAATATAAAAATTAATCTGAAATAATAACACAAGCATGAACGAAAGTTACTATTGCGGCAAAAATTTCTGAGTCAATCAGGATTTCGGAGTCAAATTTATGAATTATTCGTTCTGTTAGTTTCTGTCTTGCCTTGCAGGGCTTTGTGTCGTGCGGCTTGGGCCAGCCAATGATTGGCTACGTTATTCTGACGTTTGCCAGCGCCAGCGCCTTGTGCTCTTCGCTGTCTGGGTTTTTGGTCCAGCGTCTAGGCAGAAGATCCATGTTCCTGAGCGCAGGCTTCGTCAACTTGTCCATGATTTTGTTGATGCTCAACTGGGAGCCTCAGGCAGACCACTTCCCGTTGTACTTCATCGTGGCTGGAATATGGGGAGTGTCGGACGCGGTGTGGCATACGCAGCTCAGTGGTGAGATATGAATGAAAGAGATTAAATAATGCAGACTGACCAGGAGTCATTGTCTACTCGATTGTTTTATAATATGGGTTGATATTATAGTATGGTTAAAAATATGTATGGTTAATTCACTAAAAGCTAAAAGCAAAGAAAACTTCACAAAAATCCATAGTTTCTTCAAAGAAAACATTTCGGAGTCCAGCTCCATCGTCAGTTCGAAAATTCTAGAACACAGATAAATCAGTAATTAGTACAGTCAAGATAACAACAAAAAACCTAAGCTGTAAAACCTACCTTTTACAAATTCAAGCGGATAAGGGCTAAAAGCTAAATTCAAACTAGGCCTCTGTTTAAAAATATACAATGATTCTGAAATGCGCAAATCAGAAACACCGGAAGTGGATGCTGAAACATTGAAGTCACTGTCAGAAACTGGAACATCGCGCTGCTCGGCGTGAGCCCGCACAGCCGAATGAGGGGGGCGCGATAGGAAATTACCAGTTTTACAACTCCTGCCCCTATGTTCTGCGACCCTAGAATATAGATTGCGAGAAGTCATCCCGACGTAAGCAGATGCGCATCGTGCACAACTATATTTTTAAACTAGGGACGCTCGCATATGTATATGGAAAGTATCTTTGTACCTGAAAAAAGAACCGATTTTAAAATGGTTGACCAATTTAACACGAAGATTAACATAATTCGTGTTATATTGGTCAACCATTTTAAAATCGTTTTTTTCAGGTACAAAGATACTCTTCCTATGCATATATATATGCGAGCGTCCCTAGTTTATAAATATAGTTGTGCACGATGTGCATCTGCGTACGTCGGGATGACGTCTCGCAATCTTTATTCTAGGGCCGCAGAACATAGGGGCAGGAGTTGTAGAACTGGTAACTTAATATCGCGCCCCCCTCATTCGGCTGTGTGCCGTGCGGGCTCATGCCGAGCAGTGCGATGTTCCAGTTTCTGACAGTGACTCCATAATTTTAGCTTCCACTTTCGGTGTTTCTGATTTGCGCATTTTAGAATCATTGTATATTTTTAAACAGAAGCCTAGTTTGAATTTAGCTTTTAGCTCATACCCTCTTGAAATTGTCAATAGGTAGGTTTTACAGCATAGGTTTTTTGTTGTAATCTTGACTGTACTAATTACTGATTTATCTGTGTTCTAGAATTTTCGAACTGACGATGGAGCTGGACTCCGAAACGTTTTATTTAAATATACTATGAATTTTTGTAGAGTTTTCTTTGCTTATAAGTTGTTACTGAATTTGCGATTCAAGCAAACAAGTGACATTATGATTAATACAACAATGTTTATTGAATTACTAATTATAATTTCTAATTCAACTCATTTAGATCAAATGATTTCTCCACTCTAGGAGTTGTCAGCTTCAGTATTGAAATTTTACTATAATTTGAAATAGTTATAGTTAGTGCCATGTTAATTCATTATAATTAATTATTATTTCTCATGATACGAAACGACAAATTTTTGATAGTATAACCGTATGATATGATATGATAGTATATATAATTTCGAATAGTATAACCGTAGTTTTCGCTAGTGATCAACTTTCAGGAACCGCTTAAAGTTGTTATGGAAAGGAACAATAATATGCCACTATAAAAATATTGTACGAATCGAATTCCATTCTAATTACCAATTCTAAAACTTCACAAAATTCATAACTACATTTTCATGATAAATGAAACACAAATTTGATCATGAGTCTTAAATTCTGCTTATTTCTAGACCATCATTAATGAACGATTGTGAAATAACCATCAACAATCTTGTCGCTTTAGGGTCTTGGTTTCACTTCAGCCTTGTTTGGCGTGGTGCAAGTAACCTAACTCTATACATAAAATCTACGAGGTTATAACTCTGAAGTCTTGGAATCACTGTAACCTTGTATGGCGTGGTGCAAGTAACCTAACTCTACATTTTAAATCTACAAGGTTATAACTCTGAGGTCTTGGACTCACTACAGCCTTGTATGGTGTGGTGCAAGTAACCTAACTCGATGTATAAAATCTTCAAGGTTGTAACTCTGAGATCTTGGACTCACTTCAGCCCTGTATGGCGTGGTGCAAGTAGCAAGTCCTGAAGCCGCATTCAGCGTCTTCGTGCTCTGGCATTCCCTGGGCTACCTCTCCGTCTTCCTCACTCACTCGCTGCTCTGCGTCGACGCTTCCGTCTACATTCTGCTCATGCTCCTGTTCTCTGGTGTCATCGGCTACCTCTGTGTCGAAATTGTCGAGTCGCGGAGATTCGGAAACAACGACCCGTCCAAATTGCAAGCTATAGAGTGATGTTTGTATCAAGATAGATCATTGTGTGACGATAGCAAGGCCTTGAAGCTCACAGATGCGTTATGATTAGGAAGGAATTGGAGGCAGCGATGTTGCAACAATGGAGCCACCAAACTATAGGCCGCCGATTTTATTTTGAAACTTCCACCAAACTTCTATTTTATTTCATTTGAAATAAATTAGAAGTATTGTGAGTCGACTCAAGTGCATTCAAACCACTAGTAATGTTTTGATTATTGAGGAATTAAAGGCATTGTTCCGCCCAAATAAGAAAGGCCTCTTATGTAGACTTTAAATAGGTTATACATATCTGCATAATTATCTTTAATGTATCAATTTATTTTAGCGTGTGAAAGTATTATTTCATTATTATGAAAGTATTCCGGCGTAATATAAGAAAGGCCTCTTATGTAGACTTGAAATAGATTATACAAATCTGCATAATTATCTTTAATGTACTAATTTAATTTAGCGTGTGAAAGTATTATTAGCTATATACAGTCGCAATATTTTCATATATTAATATATTTTTAGTTTAGATTACTTTAGTTGCTGTGTAAAAATGCCAATAATACTGCTCTTCAATGTACATATTTTTCAGCGCACATTCGTTTGCATTGGCGAATTTAGGAGGCAAACTATGCACACATTTTCATGCATATTAAGCAAAAGGAAGATATTCGCATTTTATGAAATAATAATATCAAAATTATTACATATTATTATTAGAAGTTGTTGACCTAATGAGAGTTATTCCAGTTAACAAATTCAGGTTTAACGAATTTTGCATTAAAATTTTAAACTCTTAAAATATTTTTCCGATATTCCTTTCGTCGTTTTACTTGTGCATTACATATCATTAAGTTTAAGATAATTTGTGTTAGACATTTTGCGAGTTTTATTTTGTAATAAAATATAACTTTCCCTTGACCTTGGCAACACCGTTTGGAAGCTAACGTCGCGCACACAATTTTCTCTTTAGTCATTACCGTAGGCTGATCCCTGCTGCAGGTTAGTTAAAACTCCAATAGGTTCCTTTTTATTAGCTGATTAATTGTTATATTGTATTGATATTTCTTCATTCATCTTCAACGACGATTATTTCTTAGATTTACTCTTCAACAGATACGCACGTTGCCAAGGGTATTATTTTCACTATTTTTCCATAGCTTAATAATTATTTTCAAAGCCCACCTTGTTGTCAATTTACCCTGCATTTAAATCTCAGTTCCAGTTTTTCATTTTCAATCCTGTTGCCTTACAGTGTGGGTAATGACTGGCTCTCACCCCACAGATGAAGTGTTATTAAAAAAGTTCACATCCTTCTGGTTGAACTAAATAAACATTTTGATTTCAATTTCAAAATTAAATTTTGATATTTCTACAATTTATTGAAGACAAGACGAATTTCAGGCAGACATCAAGTGGGTAGCAAGAACGTGGTCATGAAAGCATGTGCGAAGTATTTTTAAAATAGATTTCAACAGATAAATATAAGATAAAATAATATATATAGATAAAATAGATAAAATAGTATAATATAAATATATATATATATATATATCAATAATATAATAGATATAAGTACTAGATAGATGTGAACAACGATGAAGTTGAAAGATTCTTGAAAATATCTAAAGTTAATGTAAACAAACCGTGAAATTATCTATCGTAAATGTAAACAAACCTCGATCATTCCTAAAATGATAAAGAAATTATTTCAATTCAATTCAAAAGAAAACGATCAAGAGAATGGTAATTAAAAATTCTGTGTATATTGAGGGTTGGTTTAAAAGTTGTATGTGTCATAGATTATGATACGAATAAAAAATTACGAATTACGAATTAAAAAAGTTAAACAGTATGTTTTGTCTCATTTCCAAAAATATTTTACGCAATCACGTAAAGTCGTAAAAAAATCGGATAAATATCATTTATGATATTTCTTCCACCCATCCCATTCCAACGTATAAGGTTTCTGCTGTATAGGCGATAGCAATAAATATGCGTCAGTGACTAGTTAAGCAATTAATTGAAAGAATTTAAATCCCATTTTCGAAGGCAGTTAATCAATTTCCTCTCTACAGGAGCTCATGAAAATTCAATTAGCCGGTAATTGCCGCGGAATTTAGTCGAGCAGTTAATTTAGTTTACGGTCGGTCTCATAATTCCTAATTGAACGCCCAGGATCCCTGTTAATTCGCCATACCATTGAAGCGCTCCGTAAATGATGCTTATTGGCTACCATTATATGCTGCATTAAATGCACTATATGGTGGTCGTGTTGTAGTGAATAGTTTGTAGTATCAATACTCAATAATTCGTTGTGATATTATTCGTAGATTAATAATATTACCATTATTGGGATACCAGCATTACTAAACTTGTTGTCAACGGGAAATTAAGCTTACTTACTCTGTTAAAAAAACGATTTTACTTCGCAGCGAAGAACTGAGAATAACAAGAAGAACAAGAACTGATATGATAATAATATGAAGAAATAAAGTACGATATATTATATGATAATATGAATAATAAAAGCAAATTAGCCTGAGGAGTAGTTCATCGAATGCTTTACTATACAGGCAACAGCAAAAACAGTAATAAACGGCAGACTGCTGCGAGCTTGAATGCAGACAGCTCTGCGATGTAAGGCTAGAATCAAAAAGTACATGTCGCACGAGTACTGGACGCGATAGTTTCATTCAAACATTTACGTTTCATACTTTCCTTGAAGTTTCATACTTTCATTGGCGTTTCCTACGTCCTTCATGATTCATACTTTCATTGATGTTTCATTCTTTCATGACATTTTCATATTTTCATTTGAATTTCATACTTTCTTTATATGCTTCATACTTTCATCTACGTTTCACAATTTCATTTATGCTTCAAACTTTCACCGATGTTTCATGTTTACATTCATGCTTAAAAATTTCTTTGATGCTTCATACTTTCGTCGATGTTGCTACAATTGCTGCGACTTTTTTATGGCTGGCTTATCATTGACATTGAATAATTTTGTCATTTGCATGTCTCATAAACCATCAATAAGAACAGCAGATTTTATGATTAACATCTCAATGAGATATTAGTTTCTGCGAACATTACAGTAAATTAAAGAGAGTGCCTGTAGAGTGAAATACAAATCTGCTGTCATCTCAATCAATGTGACTTTTCTTTCTAAATAAAATTTCTTTCTTCTCTTTTCCAAATAAAATTTATTCCCCGAAACATTCGCATCACAGATGAACTCATTGAAATCATATAAAGAAGTCGATACCCGCACTCTTATTGCAAAACTGATTGCTTTCTGCACCAGTTCAAATAAATTGTCATTTTTTGTACGCTAATCGATGTGGAGAATAAGCAAAGCTTGTCTCAATGTTAGATTCAATAAGTTTTATTGTTCCAGCCGATGGCTTAATAATAGATGTACAAAAAAAGTAGTGTAAAGAAAAATTCGAGCAAATACAGTCAGTTAATTCTGCATTGGGAATTTATCCGTTATTATGAGTCTTAAGCCAATCTGTCTAACTGGATTTAGTATATAGCAAAAACTTCCAGCAAACAATTTCTCTAGCTGTCAACCAGAAGAAATTCTCTTAAAATAATCAGATTTTATTACCCTAGCTGAGTTGATTAATTTCAGTTACCATTTTCCTTCACTTTAAATTATTATAAAATATCCTGAAGCGATACGAAACTCATTTGTATGACGAATACACAATATTAGTTATGAGACTTTTTATTAGAATACACGCTGAGAGAAATGCTCAATACACTGGGACAAATAATATTCCATGGAGGGATTTCTATCATTGACGGTGTATTATGTTTTCCACGGACAGGAGGTTTAGAATAAACCATTAATCTTTACCCTCAGGGGTCACATGTAAATTAGTTCTGAACATTCATGTTAATTAATGAAGTCACTGGGAGCACTGAGTTTCTCACATGCGCCTCAGGAGCTCAAATTATTTTATTATTATCTTTGTCCCTCGCGAATTCAAATATTTTATTTTAAAATCTTGCGAGATTTTTTGTTGTAAGTTTTCAGCAGAATCGTGTCATTGATCACTGGGTTTCGTCGGAAGGCGAGGGTTTAATAAATAGCCGCGTGCACGCGATCGCGCTCATTTGCAGTCAAGTTCCATAGGGGGAAATGAACAAGCAGATCTCGAACTTTCCATCACTGAGGAACATCACGAACAACATTACAGTAAACCGAATGTTTGCAATTCCTAAAGATTTTTTAACATAAGAATGTTCGGAAGAATATGCTGCCGTATTCTGTCAAATCTTTCTGCCAATAATGCTATAATTATTTAATCTAAACTGATGTTGGAAGTTGAGACAAGAACATCGGCCCGGGTGTTGCAGCAATTGATAAATTTCTGCATTAAATTTCTTTAATTAAAACTAACTTTGGTTTTCCAAAATATGCATTACTTTTGGAGCAAAAATTAAATGTTTAGAGGATTTTTTCCGTACAAAGAAATACTAAAATAATAAAATGTTTTTGAAAAGTATTTGAATGATATTTAACTTATCAGCTGTTACTGCGCAGGAATTAGGTATAAAAAAAGTTATTTCGAAGAATATTACGCAAATTTCTCGTTAAAAATGAAGAGATCATTGCTGCTGGTGAGTGGGGAAAAACGGTAACGGAATCTATTAGACTAACTGAAATAGTATCAGAACTGAAACTGCCCTTCATAAGAGAAACATATTCCTTTATTAATCGAATAATAAGAATTCATGCCTGATTTTTCATAAGCAATGCTGTGTCATTTTTCGGTTCCAGACCCTGACGGTGCTTTGGGTCGCAATAGGATCAGTCAAGTCGAGCTCGCAATTCTTCTACGGATCTTCGGTGGCTGAATCCAGACTCAAAGGAACGAATAATATTAAACTGGAGCTTATAAATTCTGCTCATCTTCATGCAACTGTGAAGTGCGCTCAGCTGGATTGGTGTTCCAGCGTGTGTCAGTTTAAGAACGGTTCGTTCGTGATGACAGATTTGGAGGTGCCGGCCCATGTAAAGGCTGACGCTCTTTCGGGTGCAAATCTCCCATGTCGCATCAAACGCGATATTCCTACACCTTCTACATCTACCAGCGCCTACCAACCTTCTACATCCACCAGCGCCTCCCGTAAATCGAGATGGCGTTGGCCACGTCACTAATTTTATATTTTGTCAATGGTAATTGAATATCGCGTTCAAATTTTAACTGTCAGAATATCATTTTTCATTTTATTTATCAATATTCATTTCAATAGTAATAATTTGTGACTTTATAACTAAAAAGAATTGTCTATAAATTGAAATGAAAAAAAGACAAGCGAGGTACCTTTTATTAAACTTAATTAAACTATTTTGCTATATTTTAAACTAACCTTAAACTATATTCATGCTAGGAGTCAGCTCCTATATGGACTTGACAATGCCTTCTTTTGAAAATACTGTTAATGCATTGAATATTTCCAAACAAATAATGCAAATTCATTCCAGAAGCTGAAGGAATTTTCCTTCCACTCCTTATTCCAGTTATGTTTTGGGTTTCCATGGAACAAATGTCTGAATCGGCTGGCCTGTTAACGCTTAAGAGTTTATTTTGTAATCTTTAGTCAAAATTATTAGTTTTTGTAAATTGATGTTGAATCTTTGTGCATTTTCAATATGAAGGCGCCTCAATCCTTTTCGGGCGCACAGACTTTTACTTATTGTCATGCCAATGTGCATGATATTAAATTTTGTTTAGTAAAATTATTTTGAGTATCCATTTTAGGTTGACTTTAAATAAACATACATTGTTTAGTAAAATGTAATGACTGCAAAATGACTACAATTAAAGGTATAATTTTACATTTTCCTAGCTGTTCCCATTTAAAATCATTCAGTACGTGCACGGAATGTTGGAGCTATAATATTGGCTTTAATTGTCTTATTAATCCGGGGAATTTTCATGTGAATGATGTAATTTCATACCTCTTCTATATGGAGTTCCACCGAACCGTTTAAGTATATATGTACATCATCTCGATTATTACGAAAAAAATCTTTAATTGCATGGGACTTCATGTCTTGCGTTTGGCTTATTACACTCTACATATTTGAATTTAGTAGAAAATTAGACATAAATAAACTAACGTGCTCTAACATGATGACTTTACTTTATTGGCTTAAACTTATGCCCTCGTTATCGGGTTTAATATAGATGCGTATATACTGCAATGTAGTACCTGACAACGCTTTACCTACTCAATAAGAAATATTGTCTTTATAATATAACCCTCATCAGAATAATCAACAATTAATGTATCACATTTATGTGATGAGCAAGCAGTTCGGGTTAATCGAGTAATCAGAAGTCGTCACGAGTGTTTACGATAAATAGAATAAACCTTTTGCAAAAGGGATATATTATCACAAAATAAGTCGATGATTGATGCTATATCACTGATTAAACTCTTTATCTT